GACCGGTCCACCCCCGCCAGCGTCTCCAGGGCGCTCGCCACCCGGCCCGACAGCTCTTCCAGCTGCGAGAGCCGCAGGTCCAGCGTCTGCAGCGTCGTCTTCATGAAGCCCTCGCGCTCGTTCATCTCCTCCAGCCGCATGGACATGTTCTCCACCCTGGGGACAGCGAGGGAGAGGGTTACTCAGCTGACGACGGGTCCTCAACAAAAGTCACCTGGTATGGCCCTAACCGGTTTGGCTCAGTGGATGGAGCGTCGGCCTGCGGACTGAAAGGTCCCAGGTTCGATTCCGGCCAAGGGCATGTACCTTGGTTGCGGGCACATCCCCAGTAAGGAATGTGCAAGAGGCAGCTGATCGATGTTTCTCTCTCATCGATGTTTCTAATTCTCTATCCCTCTCCCTTTCTCTCTGTAAAAAATCAATAAAATATATTTTTAAAAAAAAGTCACCTGATGTTATAGCTACATGTTTCTACAGTCTTCCATCTTAGAGAGAGAGAGAGAGAGAGAGAGAGAGAGAGAACATCAATGATGAGAGAGAATCACTGATGGGCTGACTCGCGCACGCCCCACCCTGAGGATGGAGCCCGCAGCCAGGAATGCAACCGGCGCCTCCTGGTTCACAGGTTGACGCTCAACCACTGAGCCGCCCTGGCCGGGCTACATTGAAATATTTAAATTAGACTGAAAGCATCGCAAATAACGCTTTCCATTGCATTCAAATGATAGGTACAGCACTGTATTCATTGGGGGGACTTTAGGAGCAACTTCCAAGAGGATCCCTATGCGTGGCATCGCTTCACTGGCCTTTCATAGACCCTTCTCCGTTACAACATACAAGGTCCAAGGCCAAGTCCGCACGCTGAGAGTCCCCGCGTCTCTGAGGCCGGAGCTCCGCCCCTGGGAGCTGTGCAGTCGGCCGGTTGTTTCATGTGCTGTCAGCTCTTCGCGTGCAGCTATCGCCCCTCCCCTGGGAGGCGGCCCAGAAATTACACGGGAGCGTTTCCTTGATGACAGAGCTAACTGCTCCCATGAACACATGATGCTCAGTGGGAGTCCCGGGCCCAGTCGGAACTTGACGATCCCACGGTGTTCTGTATGGAGCTCTGAGCCCAGGCCTGCCCTGGCATTTCATTCCAGGCCGGCGGATCGAAACGGCGCCCAATCCAGCCCCGAGTTCCCACCCAGCTCCTTTAAACTCCACCGACTTCTTCACTGGGGCTGCCTTTTAAGTTAATTGTAGGGCAGAGCCCGACCGGGCTTACCTACGTGCGGGAGATTGCACAGGGACCGCGGCTGAAGTCCTCAATCTCCTGGCTTTCTCATCCTTTGTTTGTTTTTTAATGATTACCTTTCCTTTTTTTTTTTTTAATTGATTTCAGAGAGGAAAGGAGAGGGAGACAGAAGCATCCATGATGAGAGAGAATATTCTACCGGCTGCCTTTTGCTCACTCCCTACGGGGATCCTGCCCGCAACCCTGGGCATGTGCCCTGACCGGGAATCGAACCGAGACCTCCTGGTTCCTAGATGGATGCTCAACCACCGAGCCACGCCAGCCGGGCTCCCTCCGTCTTGTTCGTGCGCCAAGCCGGCGAGGGAAGCTGGATCTGCCTGTGGGAAAGGGAGGCCCGCGCTGCCTGCGACCGCGCGGGTGTGTCGCGTTCTGGGGTGTGTCCTCGGCAAGAAGGGAACCACACCCTCCACCCCCAACAGGAATGACTAACAGAGCTGGTATTTTTTTTTAAATCTCTATCTACCTGATGCCTGTATCTCTCTCTGGATTGGCTGTCAAAGCCGGGTAAGGATCCAGAGTGTCGTTCAGGAGGCACCTTGAGACTCCAGGACGTAACCCGTCCCCCAGCGTGCAAGCGACTCTGACTCCTGTTCACTTACAATGAAGACATCCATCCCCATGGGGCCTCCCCGGCGTCTCCTCCATCCTGCCTGTGTGTCTTCCAGCGTGCAAGCGACTCTGACTCCTGTTCACTTACAAGATGAAGACATCCATCCCCATGGGGGCCTCCCCGACGTCTCCTCCATCCTGCCTGTGTGTCTCTCTAGCACCTTCTCTGCATCCGAGGCATCACCCGCCTCCTTTTCTTTTCTTTCTTTCTTTTTTATATATTTTTATTGGTTTCAGAGAGGAAGGGAGAGGGAGAGAGGGAGGTGGAAAACACCCATGATGAGAGAGAATCATGGATCGGCTGCCTCCTGCACGCCCCCTTCTGGGGATCGAGCCCACAACCCGGGCCTGTGCCCTGAGCGGGAACAAACCGTGACCTCCTGGTTCGTAGGTCGATGCTCAACCACCGAGCCACGCCGGCCGGGCATCACCCGCCTCCTTTCTGCGAGGCGGGTGCGGATCTCTCTTTCGGGGCTTCTTCCGGTTACTACCTCACGTCTTTCCTTCTTGTCTCTCTTGTAAGGGCCTCTGTTCCCAGCATCTTCTCTTCCCGGTCCCTTGGGAAGAGCCTGTCCGATAAGATGCCGAGGCCACGAGTTGCTGATGACCTATCCAGCCTCAAGGAAACCCGAGACCTTAACCCAGATCCACAAACCTGGCAAGAACCCACGGAACCCAGGCCCGGCCGGCGTGGCTCAGTGGTTGAGAGTCAACCCATGAACCAGGAGGTCACAGTTCCATTCCCCATCAGGGCACCTGCCCGGGTTGCGGGCTCAATCCCCAGTGTGGGGTGTGCAGGAGGCAGCCGATCCACGATTATCTCTCATCTTTGATGTTTCTATCTCTCTCTCCCTCTCTCCCTCTCCCTTCCTCTCTGAAATCAATAAAAATGTATATTTTAAATGCAAATACATATAAAGTTATAGAAATGGAAGAAACATCAGAGCCCTCAAAGGTTTGGTTTCAGAGTCATCCCTGGTGCCAAAAACGAGGTGCAAATAATTCCCGTGGTCTCCCCTGCTCCTCCGCCGGCCTGGCTGAGCTTCTCGGGAGCCTCCTGCTCCCTGTCCCCGGCATTCACCTGTGACTCAGCCGGGAAGGGAACGACGGGGCGGGCAGGAACGCGCTCCCATCAGGGAAACAGGAAGGGGCCTGTCTCCTGCCGGGCACACGTGCATCCCCACTGCGCGCGCACGGAGCCCCCGGAGGGAAAATGCAGTTTGGTAGCGACCTGATGGTCACATTCCTGGAGCCGGGTCCAAGAATGGCAAAAATCCCAGCAATGCCGGGGGGAGGGGCGGGGGAGAGGCGGCGGCGGACGGAACAGCATTTCCATTGTCCGTGACTGGCTGTGACTCAATCCGAGCCCATGTCTAACTAAGAGTGGAAATTTCCCATCACTGACACGGGGGCGCCTCATCTGTCCACGAAGGAACACCGCGTAGATCTTGGAAGCTCAGGAGTCGCATTTCCAATAGCGAGGCAGCGTTTCCAAGTCTCAGCAAAGCCCTGGCCGGTGTGGCTCAGTGGCTAGAGCATCGGCCTGCGGACCGAAGGGTCCCCAGTTCCATGCCGGTCCAGGGCACGTGCCCGGGTGGCGGGCTCAGTCCCCGGTGTGGGGCGTGCAGGAGGCAGCCGGTCCATGATTCTCTCGTCATTGATGTTTCTCTCTCTCTCTCTTCTCTCCCTCTCCCTTCGTCTCTGAAATCAATAAAAAAATATTTTTGAATAAAAAAAGAAAATGTACCGCATTACGGCCGAAGGATGGTGTGACAGCCCTTGAGTTTGGCTGGTCGCGTTACAAGGTGGCGAGGTCCAGGAGGGGGCAGAGGCCTGAGACCTGGGGCCGGGCGGGCGGCACCGGCCTGACCATGCACAGAGCATCGCCGCGTTCCGCTGTGATCCTAGGGCCCTTGCCTGGGAATCGCGCTGAGCCGTTCCTGTGAAGCCCTGCCGTGTGTCTGTGCTAATCCGTAAACATCGGTGTCTCGCGGGAGCCTGTAACTCTGAGCGCCCAGGACTATGATGATGAGCTAGCGTCCCCTGAGGCCCGGCTGCCTCTCCGTGCTGCCCTTCTGCCCACATTGTTGGTTCAACTCTGGAGCAATGTGGGGTTTTTTTTAACCAATTGTCACCCGAGGACATTTTTTCCATGATTTTTAGAGAGAGTGGAAGGGAGGGGAAGGAGACAGAGAGAAACGCTGGTGTGAGAGAGGCACATCCATTGGTTGCCTCCTGCGCAATCCCCGACCAGGGCCCGGGCCGGGGAGGAGCCTGCCACCGAGGTCCGTGCCCTTGACCGGAATCGAACCCGGGACCCTTTGGTCCGCAGGCCGACGCTCCATCCACTGAGCCACACCGGCCAGGGCTGGGGGCGCATAGCAAATGAACTGGGGCAGCCCCCTCGGAACGGGGCGGTGCCGCGCCCCAGGCCCACCTGTCGCAGGTGACGCGGATGCGCTCGTCGCTGGACGACTGCTGCTCGTCCTCCTTCTCCTGGAAGTGCTCCTGCACACACTGCGCCTCGAACTCGTGCAGCCGCTTCAGCTCCTCCTCGCTGAGGAACAGCTCTGCGGGAGCAGGCGTGGTTTGGTTTCAATATGTTTGTATTGATTTCAGAGAGAAAGAGAAACATCCACGAGGAGAGAGAATCACGGATCGGCCGCCTCCTGCACGCCCCCCACTGGGGATCGAGCCCGCCACCCGGGCCTGTGCCCTGACCGGGAATCGAACCGTGACCTCCTGGTTCACAGGTTGACGCTCAACCCCTGAGCCCCGCCGGCCGGGGGGACGTGGGCCGTTAGGAAGGGGGGCACCTACTCAGTCCGCGGTCCTGCTCGTCCTGGTCCCCTTCTCGCTTCTTCCTGCAGCGGCCGCTGAGCCGCATGGCGATGATGTAGATGTGGCTCAGGACGATCATGGGCGGGGGCAGGACCGGCCGGTCATGGAACGTCATGATGAGCTGGTACCGCTGGAACTTCCACACCTGGTTGGAGATGGACTTCACTTCAAAGAAGGTGTTGCTTTAAAAAGGAACACGTTTTCCGTTAGTCGTGGGCTAGGGTTCCCTATGTGATTTTTCCAGAGCGATTAGCGTTACCATGAAATGACAAGACTCATGAGCTGGCCCTGGCCGGTGTGGCTCAGTGGATAGAGCGTTGGCCTGCGGACCAAAGGGTCCCGGGTTCGATTCCGGTCAAGGGCACGGACCTCGGTGGCAGGCTCCTCCCCGGCCCGGGCCCTGGTCAGGGCTCATGCAGGAGGCAACCCATCGATAAGTCTCTCCTACATCGATGTTTCTCTCTGTCTTTCCCTCTCTCTTCCTCTCTCTCTAAAAATCAGTGGGAAAATAATATCCTCAGGTGAGGATTAAAAAACAAAAACAAAAAATCCCACCCTTTCCCACGCTCTAGTGAAATTCTGTGCGAATCCGAGGCCGCGTGGGAGAGTTCTGGGACGAAACGGGAAACATGTAGAGCAGCGGTTCTCAACCTGTGGGTCCCGACCCCTTTGGGGGTCGAACGACCCTTTCACAGGGGTCGCCTAAGACCATCGGAAAGCACATCAATAATTACATATTGTTTTTGTGATGAATCACTCTGCTTTCATGATGTTCAATTTGTAACAATGAAATTGGGGGTCACCACGAAATGAGGAACTGCATTAAAGGGTCGCGGCGTGAGGAAGGTTGAGAACCGCTGCTGTAGAGGGATAAGGACCAAGCACACGCTCGTCCGCGGGACACGCACTTGAACACAGCGATGAGCAGGTTGACCAGCAGGATGTTGGCCACCAGCAGGTAGCAGGCCATGATGGCCGGGGTCAGCCAGGCGCCCGGGATGCAGGGCGGGAGCCGCCTGCCTTCCTCGTCGTACTGGTTGTCGCCGCAAGGAGCTGCAAAGGGAGTCGGTCAGCCTGCGCTCGCGCTGACGCGGGATGAAAAGAATAAATAACTCACAGGGGCTATTACGGGACCCATGACCTTTTTAATACGATTCCTTCTTCCGTGAAAAAGAGCAACTCCTATCAAGGAGGTCAGGGCCCGGCTGGCGTGGCTCAGTGGGTGAGCAGGAAGAAGGCCCCCCGCCCCTGGCAGAGTCATAAATTCTGGGTAAACTTACGATTAATTTCCATGGCGTAGACTATAGAGCGATTGAGGAGAGAAAACGAGATGGAGTTGAGAGAAAAGTAACGTGATGAACAACACAGGACATGCAAAGACTTCATGCTCTGGGGTTACAGATTCACGCTGGGAAACTGTGGTCTATTTAGAAGAATTCTCCGCACTAATAATTCTAGGAAATGTGTATATATTTCATGCATATTTACTTTATCACACACACACACACACACACACACACACATGAATATATATGTATGTATACATGTATGTATTTCATGCATATTTACTTTATCACGTGTCATAAGCAACAGCCAGAGCTCAGCAGTTAAAAATACTGCGAGAAAGACAGGAGGCTGCTGGCAGATGATCATCTTAAGGTGCAGGTTAGCCAGTCAGGCACCCTCCGTACCCCAACCCAAACACCTCATCAGTATGAGTAAACACAAAGTAAGTACGTAGTCATCAGACCAAGAATCAAAAACCTAGCCCGGCCGGTGTGGCTCAGGGGTTGAGCGTCAACCCATGAACCAGGAGGTCACGGTTCGATTCCCGTCGGGGCACAGGCCCGGGTTGCGGGCTCCGTCCCTAGTAAGGGGTGTGCGGGAGGCAGCCGGTCCATGATTCTCTCTCATCATTGGTGTTTCTCTCTCTCTCTCCCTCTCCCTTCCTCTCTCTGAAAACAGTGTAGCTTCCAGTTGACCTCTACCTTCTCCCATGACCCCATTTAATTTTTTAAATACCAACAACAACATTACAACTTGTGTCTGGGTCCAGGGACTTTTTTAACACTTATGTTTACCGTTCTATTGTACGTTTACCTAGCTAATATTCTTTGGAACCAAATTAGATGTTTATGTTCTGGCTTACCAGTAATGGACTTGGAGACAGTTGTGATCATAACATGTTCTGAATCATGTGATAAAAGCTAGACAGAGCCCTGGCCGGTATGGCTCACTGGATAGAGCATCGGCCTATGGACTGGAGGGTCCCGGGTTCGATTCCGGTCAAGGGCACATGCAGGAGGCAGCCAATCGATGTGTCTCTCTCACACCAATCTCTCTCTCTCTCTCTCTCTCTCTCTCTTTCCCCCCCCTTTTCACTCTCTAAAAATCAATGGGAAAATATCCTCGGGTGAGGATTAACAACAACAAAATCTCCATTTGGCCACCTGCACTCACTTCATAAAAGTCACGTGACGTCCATGGCAGGACAGAGAACTACTCTACCCCCCAGGGCGCACATGCTCTCTCCTCCGTGCACAGGCTCTATCAGCTGCCTGGGAAGCAGGGAAGCGAGTCTTACTATGAATTCTAGTCTTACGGTCTGTCTGGTCTGCAAACACCTCCCCGTAGATCATCCAGTAGGGCATGTAGAAGATGTTCCGGGCCAGCCTCCAGGAGGGCTCCTCGTCCGGGTGCAGGATGGCCTGGCGGGCCACGCCGAAGCTCATCAGCACAACCAGCATGATGACCACGAAGTACAGCATGTCAATCATCTGTCCATCAAAGGGCAGCATGTCAATCAAAGTGCAGCATGTCAATCATCTGTCCATCAAAGTGCAGCATGTCAATCATCTGTCCATCAAAGGGAATGGGTCTCTGATGATCTCAAGTTCACATGGTTCCTGATATTGCTCAACCCAAAGACTTCGTCAGTGCTCCACAAGGACAAAGAAAGCCTCTTCGCCTGGCCGGCGTGCCTCAGTGGTTGAGCATTGACCTATGAACCTGGAGGTCACGGTTCAATTCCCAGTCAGGGCACACGCCCGGGTTGTGGGTTCGATCCCCAGTAGAGGGCATGCGGGAGGCAGCTGCTCAATGATTCTCTCTCATCATTGATGTTTCTATCTCTCTCTCCCTCTCCCTTCCTCTCTGAGATCAATAACAATAATTTTTTTTAAAAAAAGAGATCCCTAGTCAGTTTGGCTCAGTGGATAGAGCATAGGCCCATGGACTGAAGGGTCCCAGGTTCGATTCTGGTCAAGGGCATGTACCTCGGTTGCAGGCTCAGTCCCTGGCCCTGGACGGGGCATGTGCAGGAGGCAACCAATCGATGAGTTTCTCTCAAATCCATGTTTCTCTCGGTCTCTCCCCTTCCCTTCCACTCTAAAAATCCATGGTAGAAGGAGGAGGAAGAAGAAGAAAAAGGAGGAGGAGGAAGAGGAGAAGAAGGAGAAAGAAGAGGAAACCAACTACAAAGGAAAAGCCAAATGAAATGAAACGAAGCCAGGCGCAAGGCCGGGCCCCGTGTGCTAACCGCAGCCGCGGCGTCTGCAGGGACCCCGGGCCTCAGTGCTCACCATCTTCCCGATCATCATCACGTAGGGCCCCAGGTACTTGTTGACCCCGAAGATGTCGAGGACGCGGATGTACCAGAAGATGATGTCCACGCAGTAGATGACGCGGCCGTAGCCCATGTACGGCTGCTTCTGCAGGCGCAGGACGGCCCCGACCAGGAACACAGCGATGGCCACGAGGTCCGTGATGTTCCAGTACTCCTGGAGCCACACCTTCACCTTCTGGCTGAGTTTGCCGGGTTCCGACATGAGGATCTGAAAACGAACGCCAGGAGCGATGAGCGGGGGGTGCCGTCCGGGAGGCCCCGTCTTCTCCGAACCTGAGGCCCACGGGAGCGCTGGGACAGCCCAGGGGACACGGCTCCCGTTCCCGCTCAGGGCCTCCAACACCCGTCCTCTCAGGCGGGCAAAGAGCTGTAGAAGCAGCCGGCCGGCGCGGCTCAGTGGTTGAGCATCGACCTAGGAACCAGGAGGTCAGGGTTCGATTCCCGGTCAGGGCACAGGCCCGGGTTGCGGGCTCGATCCCCAGTGTGGGGCCTGCAGGAGGCAGCCGATCCGTGATTCTCTCCCATCATGGATGTTTCTCTCTCTCTCCCCCTCTTCCCTTCCTCTCTGAAGTCAATAAAAATATATTTAAAAAAAAAAAAAAAAGATCTCTAGGAAGGGAAATTCCACGGGGTCCTCTGCTGTTCCTCGATCCGTGTTTCGCAAGCTCCCAGGAAATGCCTTGGGAATGAAGCCCTCGCTGCAGGGAGGGCAGCTGCCCCTTGATGTCTTCCTCCTTCCCTGGACGGGCGCCTGTGAGCGGACGTTCCAGGAGGGAAATGTGGAGCTGGGATGGGCCGCGTGGTCCCAGGGAAGCGCAGGCCAACCAGCGGGGAGGGCGGAGCCGGGGGCAGGGATGTCCAGCTGCAAGGACTCCTCTTTGCAACTTGGATGGGGGAAGGCAGGGGCGAGTGAAGCTTGATTTCCTCCGACACGAGCTCTTAGCCTTTGAAAAATTGCTGATTAAAGAAATCACTACTTCAGCCCGGCCGGCGTGGCTCAGTGGTTGAGCGCCAACCTATGAACCAGGAGGTCACGGTTGGATTCCCCGTCAGGGCACAGGCCCGGGTTGTGGCCTCGATGCCCAGTACGGGGCGTGCAGGAGGCAGCCAATCAATGAATCTCTCTCATCATTGATGTTTCTCTCTCCCTCTCCCTCTCCCTTCCTCTCTGAGATCAATAA